CAAATGGCTTTCTTCTTGTCCTGGATCTCCCCCTCGTCATCGGCTATGAACCCGAAGTACGACCACACCTCCGACCGCGCGTGGGGTAGGGGTACGACCTGTTCGTGGGCACCGGGATGGGGTTACTAGTAGTACGACTGATGGGATGTCAATGAGCGGTCAAACCTTAACTATTTTGACGTTTTGTGTTTGGCTGAGAGTGTCGTCGTTGATGAGGTCCGGCTGTCCATCGCCGGTGTCGTCGTCCCGACTGCCGTCCCGCGAGTCGGACATCAAATGCGGAACAACTGTCGACATCTGATTTGATCGCATCGATTGCATCGACGGCATGGACTCCAGTTCGCAGACATTGCCTGCGGTTTGAGGTATAATACAAACAATTAGTTTTTCACTTGTCTTTCAGTGATTGGTATTTGTCTTAAGACTTGTGGTGAGAGTAATAGTCGGCGATTGATAACCAAATGTTAAGTTTTGATCCAATGATCGCTAACTAATCCCTTAAGAGTAATACTAATGATATGGACAGACATTGTGGCCATTAGTCCCTCAAAAAGTAGATAATTTGTGGCAAACTTTAAGACAAATAACTATGGATTGCATGGACTGTCAGTGTATTGAATTGAATGGCAATACATACCGGCATTAGTATCGTCATCGGAGTCTTCATTATCTGTCAATACTATGGGATCCGAGTGTTTATTGTCCTCTTCCTCGGAGTCCATGACGTCCTCTGAGTTGTCCTCCATTTCCATCATCACAGACACCGATCTAAACGGCAATCTCTGTGGCAAAAGTGGAGTTGAAAAAAGTTTTGCCAAACTTTTTGCCAAAACTTTGTGTTTGATTGACAATCGATTGTTGATTTGATTCACAAGTCTTGCAGTGATTATCGATTAAAACGCGATTAAATAGTTGGCATACAATCGATACTCAATTGGTTTCCAGTGTTTTCAATGCATTTGTGCCAATGGGTGGCCATCGAAAGGGGACGTACGCTAAGTACGTGCCCATAATCGGGTAGTAGTTTGCTGTGCGAGTGACTCCGGCTTTTCAATTAAATCGCTACTCATATAGCGATTAAAAGTTTGTGTTTAGCGATTAAATGTGTAGAAATAGTCAGTGATTAATATATTGTATGGAAATTCTCGTTAAACCACTGAATAGTCATTGAATTTAGCGATAAGTTTATTGATTACTACAAAGCAATAGTACAGTCTCATAGCAATAATCGTAGACAAGAAGCATTGCTTTAGAACGCATAGCGTCCATAGGGTTTTCAG